AATACGCCAGTAAATAACACCCAGATATGAGAATCATAAGATTAAATAATATTTATGGATTTGTGTTGTCTAAATATTGCATGTGTTTTTGTAGTAGTTTTTACATCTGATATTACAGTTCATTATTATTGTGAACAAACATTAGATGATATCATCATCGCATGAATAAAAAGACAACTCAGAAGCTGATTGTTCGGTTCTGGAAAGTAAATTATTTAACCCTTCGAGAAAAATAAAAAATGCTTGTTTCAGGTATTCGCACTGCATGAAGATTCAAAAGTTGTTGTACAACTCATTCTTTCTGAGATGCACTTAGTCATCATTTACAAACAATATTTTCATTCTATTTTTATTTATTCAACCCCTATCATTATTTAGTTGGCTGTTTTTATGAACACCACCACGTCTAATCAAAATGCATGAAATAAATAACATATCTGCACTTTTAACTTTTGTTTGATGTCCTCAACATTGTTGCAAATTATGATAGCATTCACAGTATATTTTGATGATTTACCAGAAAAAGAATTAAATATAAAGAAATGGATGTAAAAGTGAGTTTTTGGTCAATGTAACAGAACATAACATCACAATCAAACAGATGTTTTGGTGAACAGTTTGTATGTTCTCATTATCGACTAACACTCATTTTTCTGGAAGAAATAAAACTATAAATAAGTTGAGAAGTCAATGCATCATGTATCCAGATTCTGACAATACACCGACTGAAAAGTTTTTGGTGCAAAAAACACAATTGTTAAATCCTGGTGGTTTTGTCTGTGCTGTAGATGATCAGCTGATTGTCTACCGCGGCAAAGCTTTATTTATTGATCGGACCTACGAGAGTCTGCAAAATGTTCCTGTGCTCCGTGTACAGTTCTTAAAAAAGCACTTCGATATTGTGCATGTTCTAAAAAAAGTATAGGGCCAAAATAATAGTACCAGTTGCAGTAAAAAATAATCAGACAATATCTCTACACCGACATTCCATATCACTATGTGTACCAGAACAGCCGATGGGTATTGCGATAGCGAGGTGATGGCAAGGTCATTACAAGATTGTATGCGGTCAATCCAAAGGAAAAGGAGAGATTCTATCTGAGAATGCTCTTGCTCAATGTGAGAGGTGCAACGTTATTCGACGACTTAAGAAGTGCCAACAATGTTGTATATGGCACATTCGAGGAAGCAGCAAGGGCAAGAAATCTTCTGCAGGATGACAGTGAATGGAAGAACGTGCTGAGCGAAGCTGCAATGACAGAGACATCTGACCACATCAGAAAGCTGTTCGCATACATCTGTGTGTTCAACTGACCGCATGATGCACTTGGGCTGTTCAACGACTATGTTGACGATATGTGCGATGACATCGTTAACGAGATATATGGTGATGTTGCCAACATGGCTGACAGCGGATATCTAACGAACAGAACTATACTCACAACAAATAACGATGCTGCAAAAAAAATCAATGACAGAGTCCTTGACTTGATGATTGGCAACGAAATGACATACACGAGTGCAGACTCTACTGTCACAGAGGACAACGATGTTGTTGCGAACTATCCGTTAGAGTTTCTCAACAAGCAGCAGCCTTCAGGAATGTCACCGCACAAGTTAGTTCTAAAAAGAGGTGCGTTGATAATGCTATTGCGCAACCTTGATCCAGTCAATGGCCTGCTCAATGGCACACGTCTGGTGGTTGATGAACTTCACTCAAACTTCATCATAGCTACTATTGTAACCGGATCCAGGAGAGGTAGTAGGGCAGTGATACCAAGGATCGACATGGCACCGAGCGAGACACAGCTGCCGTTCATACTCAAGAGAAGACAGTTTCTTGTTCTTCTTTCGTTTGCGATGACAATCCACAAGTCACAGGGTCAGTCATTTGACAAGGTAGGTGTTTATCTGCACAGCCCAGTCTTTGTGCATGGTCAGTTGTACGTAGCTTTGTCGAGAGTGCGCTATGCAAAAGGTCTAAGGGTGTATGTTGCTGACAATAGAGACCAAGGAAAGCATGAGAATAGTAAAGTATACACAAGAAATGTTGTATACAATGAGCTACTAAAATGAAAGTGATTTATTGATTTTGTAACTATAGAACAGTTAGTAGAAAGGAATGACCTAATGTTTTAGTTATGTTCAAAAGCGCTATTTTTGTATACTATCCATTCATGCACCCGTTTTGCAAATGAGATAGCGTAGCTAGTAAATATTAAGATGTTGTGACAGCATGATTCAAAATGTAGAAACACGCTACGATTATCATATCCATTCTAGCTTTATTTGCGACAAAAAAGTTAGCATTGAATGGATTCGAACCACTGACCTCTGGGTTATGAGCCCAGCACGCTAACCACTGCGCCACAATGCTGTCGTTTTGCGCATTACCTAGAACATAAAACGAAACGATATTTCTAGTAAGTATACGCTTGATGGTGTAGCAAAACTTTATATCTTGCTAGTAATACGCTCATAGAGATTAATTAACGTGAACAAATATACCGGTTTTTTCATAGAATCATAGATGAATATTTGCTCATGTATAGTTAGCATGTCAAAGTATAATTGGCGCAGTAAATCATATAGATGTTTCTTTCTGCACATGGAGCTTGAAAATCCTATGTCTTGAGAGGATTATATTGGTAAAGACAGTATAAATACACAGATGAGATACGCAGTACTTATATTGACAGTCAAAAATGATGTACTGCTGTTTGTGCCATGTTAGTATTTCAAGATAATGTTTAGTACATGGGTTAGAGAAGCGTTTTATGTATAACAAGACGGTTATTAAAATTTGTAGGATTGTAGGATGTGAAGTAACGGCTATTTGTACGTGCACAGCACGCCAGAAGAGTTTGTTTATATGTTTTGGTCTGGAAGTGATAATCTGACAAACTTTTGAAATGCGTTTCAAGTTGCATGAACCACTGGTTGCTTCGACCAATATTGGGATGAATGTTTTATGAAGGCATTTAACTGTCCTTTATTTATACAAACAGAACAAATTTAAATATTTGTTGCAAACGTGTTCGTTACCTAAGCAATGTTGGTGCTATAAAATATGGCTTAAACAAGTTGTCAAAGAAGAGCTTTTATGTTTAATGGCAATGCTAGGCTGTGGGGAACCGGTACTTAAAATACTTGCCCGGTACACTCATCATTTACACAAATTTTTTGTATCCCCAAAATGGACGAACACGTGCAATCGTTTCGTTTACAACACAAGGCGCTTATAAAACAGTTCTATATTACATCATCAACGCAAAACTTGGAGAAGTTATACCAAAATGCTCTTAATTCAAAGGATGATGAAATAGTGGAAGAATTTATAAAGCTATGCTGTATTAGTGTGGATAGAACGAAGTTTAAAAATTATTTAACCAACATTATAGAACACTTCGTATGGCTTGGTTTAAAGTACTACGATGAAATGGATGGATATGATGAAGCTCGAACAATCATTGAAAATGAAGTAAAAAGGCTAAGAATGATTATAAGGACTGACGATCAATTGTAATATTTATTGTTTGATGTGTATTTTATAGGCCATGCGCAAATAGTGTTTGGCGATGAGTAGCTACGTAAAATGTGATTTCTCAGCGAACAACTCCATTATTAAATCTAAATGGTGTCTGTGGAGCAATTACACTACCATACAGCAATTGTTGAGCACAATCTTCAGTATTTTTGTATTATGGCTCAGTGTTGGATTATCAACTAGCGATTCACAGCACCGTACTTTATCACGTGATTGTCTGTAAATATATCGTTTTACTACTACACATCTGGATAGATGGGCGTGTAGGGTAAGCGTAGAACGGTGGAACAATGTGGGAACATCACGGGTTTTGACCGACGCGTGTGATAGGTTAGAAGAACTCTTTTAAATGGTACTTTGTGTATTATAAACGCATTGAATGCTATATTTTACATGTTTAATTGAATATTTCACGGTCATCAAGTTTGGTTTGTAGCAATTCACCGAAAGATTATTCAGGAAGAGATCAAATAATGATGGAAATAATATGAATGAATAAATATGATTGTTGTTGGATATTTCTGAATGATCATTAACCAAAGGATGGTAGGATGCTTGGTGTATATGAAGTAAGTATAAAAACAGTGTAATCACATTTTGAAGAAATAGATAACATGCCGTGAGTGAGATATTCAAAAGAATATTGAAACCATTCTATGGTTCAATACTAGTGTAAGAAAAACCTAATCATCGTATTTTTGTAGTTATAGATTTTTTAGAGAAATATACTTTCATTGAATATAACACATCAAATGGTTCTAACAAGTGATCCAGATCGAAACAATCTGTTATTTTTACCTCATGCCATCTAAATTTCATATTTAGGGTCTATTCCGATTACATAATAGGTAACTTGCATTTTATTCACTTGTTTATCAACACATTAACATGAAAGTAATTCGCAACAGTACGTTCATGGCCTTTACCTTATTAATTTTCTGCATCCGACAAATTTAAGTCGTTCTCGTTTGATTGTTAGAGAATTTTCTACAGAAATATGTGATAAATGTTGTTTTGGCGTGTTTACATGCCGAATTGTGCATTGTTACCGCTCTTATTCTGAGAAATTACCGTAGTGTAATGCGGCCTTAAATCCCCACTAAAAATTTACCCCATGCTCTTCAACAAAGATTCATTTCTTGCGTATGCACAGGCCAAAGGACTTGAAATAGAAGATGAAGCGATAAGTATCCTGGCACAGGATGTTGAATACAGGGTGAAAGAGCTGTGTCAAGAAGCTGCTAAGTTCATGCTATTTTCCAAGAGAACGAAATTGTCAATTGATGATGTGAACAACGCGTTGACAACACGCAATGTTGATCCAATATTCGGTTATGATCCGAAGGACAATTTAGTTTTCAAGAACGATATCGTTAAAAGTGCAATTTTTTATGTACCTGACGAAGAAATCGACCTCGAAGATTTGCTGAACCAACCACCACCAAAAATGCCTTTAAAACCAAAAATTACCTCACATTGGCTGGCGATTGAGGGGGTGCAGCCGCAAATACCCCAAAATCCCATAATAATGGAGAAACCCTCGCTGAAACAGGATCCGCTGGTAACTTATACAGAGGAGAGCGAGCTGAAGCAAACAACAAAACATGTGATATCCAAGGAACTGCAGCTGTACTACGAGAAAATACTTTCATTTTTAGAGGACAGCGAAAAAATTACACTGGCGATCGAGTGCCTGAAAACGGAGAGCGGCATACAACAACTTATACCGTATCTCATTCAAAATATCAATGAGAAGATCCTTAAAAATATGGAGAGCGAGGTACTTTCCAACTTCATTCTCTTTTATCATTCATTGTTGCAAAATGAGCATATTTTCATCGACCCATACTTGCATCAAATAATTCCTTCACTTCTGACATGTATAATTGGGAAGAGGATCAAAAATATGGACATTAGGAAATTGGCCGCCGAAACGATCAAGTACGTATACGACAAGTATTCTATAACTTACGACACACTGGGCCCAAGAATAATAAAGACCCTTTCAAAAGTATGGCTGGACAAGGATAAATCAGAAGATGCTCATTATGCGGCGCTGTTTACGCTTTCGATTCTGTCTACGAATGTGATTTCGTCTGTAATACAGAAGGAAAAAGATCGTTATGTAGAGATGGTAAAGGATCTGAACTATGAAAATGTATTGCAACTGTTGAACGATATTTTAGCAAAATCTTGAGTTTTTGTTGTTGCTGGAATCTTATTCATTTATTATTGACATAGTGAGGTAATATTTATGACCAATCCTTTTGAGAACAAATACGGGTTTTGAATGGTACCATAATGATTTATAGTATGTTATGTCAGTTCTGAAGACGTAATAGTGTTAAAATATTGTTATTCGTCTTTGATGACTATTTATTATTTCTTTCGTGCTAAAGTTTTACCAGAGTTTCCATTTAAAATATGTAAATTGTTTTCAATCCTTAAGATGAATTTTGCGCGTGCTTTTATCTTCGAAAACTTCGATATTCCTGGTACTGGTTAAAAACCTGCCATTGATGAATGAATGACTCACCACATGAGTGATCTCTGGATAAACACTCTGCCAGAGCATATTATATGTGAAATAAAGGAAGTATAATTCATCTAAAAACATTTTTATTTATCTTCTGTAACGGTTTACACTGTTCTCATAGTAAAATAATCTTGGGCTGTGTCATCAAGTCGATCTCCTGTATTGTCCTAGATTTATATCAAACCAGCTACTCCCCAGTTCTAACATTCGGAACATAAGCAGTCTCTTACGATCAGTATCCGCTATGTTGTTAGGAGATATGCTTAGCTTATAATATCGGATTTCCACACACCTTAATAACAGGCCAGACATTTTTGTACCTTGATAGATATCTTTATTCGGTAAGTTCATTTACAAATATCTCATTGCATCCCTATTTATACCATTCTCTAGTGAACAATCCCTATATGTCTCTAGTATATTGGTGATTTGCTTTATAGCTCTTGGTTATCGGAAAGGAATTTTCGTTCAGAGCACGAATATAGTAAAATTTCAGTTTCATGATCATTTTTATTTAGTATTGTGGCGGATTAGTGGCATCATAGACACGAGTAGGTGCTATAAGCCCCAAAAACCTACTCTCCTTCTTGACTGAGCTCAATTTGAAGAGCGGAACGGTCAATCCATGGATAATGACACTGAAAAGCACGACCACAGATACAAAATCTATCGTTAATGTGTCTAATATCCTATCTATCAGTAGTGCATAGTACAATGCTGCGACACCGATCGGTCCAAACCATCCCACGAACAGTGCTTCTCTTTTCGTTCTTATCTGCGGTATGAACTTAAAAAGCAGCAAACACGGGAATGTTCTTCGCAGGCAAATTATTAAAATAGATGAGACTATCACCGGCACGGTTATTCGGGTAAAGTCTATCCGTGACCCAAAGAAAACAAAGAACGAGGTGCTAAAGAGCGAGTCGGTCACCTCCTGCAGCCTAGACTCTCGTGTTTCGAGGACAAACCATTCATCCCAGGAGAACAGTGCTCCTGTAAAAAATATGCAGATCAGTTCGCTCGATTTGATCGTTTCCATTAGTCCAAGACAGAAAAAAGTGAGCGCTAGGCCGTATATAAGGAACGACTCTATGCCGACTAAGTCGTTGCCGTAGCAATACTTCAGCATTCGACGAGAGAAGTAGCCGATGAATATTCCAAGGACTATTGGAAGCATGCATTGGTATAGAATTACGTTCAAGAAATAATTTTTCAAACCAACCAACACATTTTCACTATAAAAAATGTGCAATGGGAAGAATAGAAGCGAGAGGCCCACGCCATCGTTGATTCCACTCTCGGCCGAAAGGAGTGTACGCAGTCTTTCCGGTACATTTTCGTCGGCAAATTTGCTCTTTACGATCGAACTTGAAAGGATTGGATCGGTCGGCGTCAGACAGGCTGCTATAGCAAGTGATACTGCAGCGTTGTAGTGTGAAAAACTGTACACTATGATGAATGTAATGAAATATTTGGCGATAGATACAACTATAACAAGTACAAATAGGGATTTAGCCTGTTTTAGGATGTATCCTTGTGGCAGTGACATCGCGGCTGTCATAACCTGTATGCACAGCACAACACGAGCAAAGTGGTACATCACGATTTTTGACTCAACATAGCTCGTATTTAGTACGTTCAAGACATATGGCCCTATAAGTATACCAAAAATTATAGAAACCGTAGGTTCTGAGAGGAACAACTTTTCCTTCACGAAATTGGATACAAGGCCAAAAGCCAGAATGAAGAAGGATACAAAACAAACCACAAGGAAAAAATCGTCCATTGTCTTCTCTTGCATTTGTTTTTTTATAGTCGCTTTTTAAAACAATCAGATTGGGACATCATAAAACTCATGGTTTTGTGTTAAACATTCGAATGGTCAGATAGTACACATCATCGGCATAAATCATCGCATCGGTCTCTTATAGCGGATATATACGGCAGCTTTAATCCTTTTAAGAAGTTTAGGGTGGCTTTTCAGCGGACAGATGGTTTTGTTAGATATTTTTTTCGCACATTATAAGTTAACACGGCTATCTCGATAAAAACTCTGTTTATAAAGCGGTTCATCCGTCTTCCACATACATTCGAGTTTGATACGGTGCTGAGTCATGCTAAACTAGACGGTATCTGAGCAATGTGATACTCAAATACAACGAGATTCTTGCGAATTCATATAGTTTATCGTAATAGTTTGATTCATTTACAGCTGCAAAAGATGAAATTTAGACCTTTGTATTGCTTCAAGCAATAACAATCTGTCCTTGCAAATCGACAAACCGCATTTTATGAACAGTTGATAACTTCATTAAATCTTCGACTATCATTTTCATACAGTGAACCAATCCAATATTCTTGATTGCTGAAAAATTGTATCAAATGTGATTGCTAAATAATTAAAAGGTGATGTTAACAAATATTTACAATAAGAGTCTCCGATGCTGTAGCAACAACCGCTTACTATCAGTTAAAAAATACGGTAATGTGAATACACCAAAATATCGTAATAAACATTCGAGGTTTTCACCAGAAAAATATACGAACCACGAAATCTGACTTCAATCCAGTTGTGAGCTGAGTACCAATGAGCAAATAGTCGATTATATGAACGTACATTGGCCTTATTCTTCTTTTCAAGGCGTTTTTAACAGATAGTTTACAACAGAACATTTTATAATGCATTTCAGATGTACTATTTTGCAATATATTCGCTAAATTTTACTCCTCTTCGATCTTATGCCATGATATCGGTGTCCGTTTTCATTTGGTAGTTTTATTTGAGCTAAAGGATAGTATCGGTCAACGAACAAGGTAAGTGCGAAAATATATATGCTATTTATCTGTTCTTTAATTTTGGTAATCGGAGAGTTTTCATGAATTTATCTATGTAACTTAACTAAGTGAGAAAGTTAAGGCACTTCAAACATGTCAAAACTGCTTTATTGCAGAGAGTATTGCATAAATGTTGGTTAAAGGAAATGTTTCATTCAATGTTGAAATGGGGTGGTAGTAATTTAGGATTAACAACCAGGTAAATTACCATATGAAAGATCAGGTTGGCTATTTTTGAGCGAAGAACGCTGAAAAATTTCATTCAACTAGCACTGAATACAGAAATATTGATCACGTTTCATAGAATGCTTTTCTATGTTGAAAATTGTCTCGGTGATGTTTCATGTTTTCGTAGTGCGTGTTTCATCTTTTCTCCTGGCACAATATTTTACCGTATTGCTTTCCAAAAACATGTGATTTAGTTCTTCTGCTCTTTCTGCATCCCACGGTAAAGCTGCTGTAACGTAATTAGGTGGACCATGAATGACTCAGAGAATAAAGCGTGCTATTTATCCAACGATTTGTAACCCAGCAGCTGTATCAAAAATCTACAAAAATGGTGTAGAACACTGACCAAATAGGTATTTATTACTTACAGAGGATGACATACATTTCGAAGGGTGAATACACGGCACGTGTTAGCACTTTGCATGTCAGCCGTTTGATGAGCATGTCATTATTTCACACCGATATACCAGTACAGGAGCAACTTGATCAGATAATAGTTTAACACCACCAGCAGAATGCAAGTGACAGCAAGAACGAGAGTGATAGCAAGGAACAATGGAGGAATACCAAACATGCCAGAGTATCACTTTACTCAACAAAAACATGTTAATCACGTTCAAAACAATTTGTTTCAACATCTAATTATTAACCAATAGCGCCAAAACTCTACGCACCAAATGAAGCGCTCACTTCTTTTCTTATCAATATTCAGCGTATATCGGGCACTAAACCTTCTTGATCGATGCAGACTCTACAACATTGATCCCAAACATTGCCAAAGCTCGATATACGTGCCCAACACATACTATGATAATTATTTAAAGAGCTTCAACATGCCGATACAGAAGGATCCAGAATGCAACACGAAGAACTGTCTGATAGTAGTATACAAGGAACCGCCGCGGATAGCCGTTAATTCCACCGGATCTTCTTCAAATTATTGTGAAAACGGGTTTAATCTGCAGAACTTCTCAGTATGTATGCCCAGCATGCAATACAGTACAAATGTCCAAACCATAACTCCTGGCACCGAACCACCCGGCAAAATCGTCATCCAAACATTGACAATAACCACCTCAAGCACGAACGATACTACAACGCTGACGGGAGTGACACCTAGTGTAATAACCAAAACCGTGGTCATAACACAAACGGATGATGACACAACAACAGAAGAGAGAAAAACAGATTCGAAGACGAAGTCCAAAAATAAGACCAAGACAATAACCAAGGAGGTGACAAAAACAGTTGATAAAACGTCAACCAAGGATTGTGAAAAAACATCTGACGGAGAGAGCAGTAAAACATCGGATTGTAGTTCGGAGACGAAGTCGGAATGTTCTAAGGATGCGCAGACAAAGGGGAGTAAAACAAAGACTGTAACAGTGACAAAGGGGGAAAGCGAAACGGACGGTGAGAAAACGAAAACTGTCACGGTTCCTGCAACCGTACAGCCACCAGATGATAAGAAAACCACCGATCAGACCACCACGCCAACTCAGTCCTCGCAATCTAGTTCAACACAAACCACGCCACCTCCTGTGCCGCCAACAACAAGCATTCCGTACATAAACATTGAACAGATAAAGAAAATAATAGAACAGAAAGAAAAGTTGTGTAAATTCGGAAGAAACGATGATAATTCGTGCAAGAGATGTGAAGGAGAAGGCTGTTCTAAGTCAAAAAAGTGCAAACGAAAGAATGAGGAGGATTGCCACGGCGATGAAACAGACGAAGATGGTTCTGATGAGGATCAGTCAGACGAACAGGATGGAAAAGGGCATTCGAAGGACAAAAAGAAACATTCTAAGACGAATACTAAGGATGGTAAGAAGAATAAGACCACGGAGGGAAGTAGAGAAAAATATATCACGCTGTTAAGGTACAAGACAAGCACCGTTACAAATGAAATTCCCATTACTTTGTACAGAGAACTACTCAAGACAGTTGAAAAGGAAAAACCTCTAACCAGGTACAAAGTAACTACCGTTAATAATACGGTGACTAGGACCGTCACAAAGGACAAGTACATGACAATGACGATTACAAAGGCAAAAGAGGTAACCATTACACCAGATCAAAGTGATAAAAAAGAATCTGATACAAAGACAAGCGATTTGACAAAACCACCGAAAGAAACGGTTTCTAAAACTGATGAACAGCCATCTAGCTCCCAAACTAAAGCATCCACGAGTAAAGATGGAGGTAAAAAGATTGTGACTGAATATGTTGAAAGCAAGGAAGCTGTCGAAACGGTCACTATGACAATCCCGCCTGCTATAAAAACGGAAACAATAAGCGAACAGGAAAAGGCCAAAACCGCCACAGAACAGGATGTTCCGATTGAAACAGCCAAGCCAAAAGAAGAGGTTAAAAGTATTTCAACAGATGATGAGCTTAGTAAGAAACTCATGCCGCTGTTCGGTGGAATCCTTGAAAAGATTTCAAAGGATTTGATCATCAAAGAAAAACAGGGAAAGCGAAGACATACCACGACATCAGCCGAGAAAAAGACAAATTTTATCACAGTAACGAAGTTGGAAACGGTAACAATCACCAAGAGTGCAGATAATGATAGCGAGCGTGGCAAGAAAGTTGTTTTTAATACCGTATACGCCAAGGCAAAACCCAAGATGATTAAGTGCATGCCTGTCATGGTTAACAACGCGAACTGTTTAATTACGCAAGAAGGTGTGGTGTTGAAGACCGTGTTTAAGGACAATAAGGATGCCTAATGGTTCGTGTTTGCGGAGCATTTTATAGAGCTACGTAACTTTGTGCCTGTTTAATTAATAAAATTAACATTAAAAAATTTTGGGTCTCGTGCTCATATTTGACTCTGTTATGGACACATCAAAGCATGCGGTATGCGGTTAAAATAGATAACACTGGGATTTACATGGCATAAAGCCTTATTATAAGGCAGAAGAACACGGATTGAGTTTATGAATTGTTAAGTCTCATGTTTTATTGACAAAATAGTTCACGAAGCTCCCGTTAAAGCAATCACTTGACATGGACAGATGTCTCGCTAACAATCTCTAGGTTTGCATCAAACTGATAGTTACAAATAAATGCTGTTGATAACTCGTTCTGTTACAAGCAATTATTGTTGATAGCGATCAAACATAGAGAACTAAAGATTGTGGTTAGATGTCGTTTTGTGATAAGTTATACGTTTCAGTCTGGGATACTGATTGTAACAGTGATCATAATAGCGCGACATTTTGATTGATGCAGGTTTTAACGCAATTTCAACGAGGTATTGCTGACATTGGAACTGCTGCGTTTTTTATGGGGATGTCACGAGTGTTCAGAGGTGTCCTAGCACATTATTTGTGAAATTGCGGATGTCATTTGCTCTCTACACGATGATAAATGTTATGCATCTTCTGTATATGTTTTTTTACAATTCGTGCCGTGAGCTTAACGTTTTAAAAATCTAAGCCCGTCTGAGGATGCGTTTCAAGATTAAAGAGTATCATAATGCCTACTAATGAACAGTTCCAAAACAGCAGCTGACTTATTCTCACTGTTGTTTCCGCTCTCCCGGAATTTTTCTGTTCTTGCATTCGATATACAGATATTGTCACTGTGCTGTGGTGAACAGGTGATCGAGTTCATGATAAGATGAAATGAAAGACAAGAATACACAGTATCAACAGAACATATCAACCACCAAACAATATGAAACAATCTTTAAAAATTTATGAGGATCAATGCCACATGTTGTACAGCTCTTCACTAAGATGCACAGTGCTATCAAGCAAAATGATATTTTTGTGTAACAAGGGAATGCACAGGCTGGTAGAAGCAACTCAACGAAATTTTTAATGCTGCCCGTAGGTGATGAACAAATCGCAACTGCAAACTTGGTATGGCTCAAAATTTTTGCGCCACCCTCGAAGAATGTCCTCGCTTCTAAAATACGCGCCGTTGCCGAAAAAGCAACTTAAACCAAAAGAAAAGAGAGAACTGAGCTTTTACGCCTTGGCACACAAGATGCATCAAATATATATCCCGTTTAAAAGACCGACCAAGGTGCAGAAAGAGATCATCAACGCAATTCTCAACAGAAAATCCGCTATCTTTCTTTCGAACACTGGATCAGGAAAGAGCTATGGCTATTCGTTGGGACTAGCAATAAGATACCACAAAGAAAAGGGCAAGAGGTTGAAGGCTGTGATAGTTCTCCCCACGAAGGAGCTGGTCGAGCAGATGTACACGATTCTCAAACAAATTGCAAAAAATACGATTAGAATCGTTAATTTATCGTCGGCATTTCCTGAAGAAAAGGATGTAAGAAAGTTAGAGGGTAATCCCGATGTTGTGGTAACAACGGCCGGTCGATTTAAGCTTGTCAAGAACTTTGATCTCCTCATTCTTGACGAGGTCGATCTTTTGCTTCGTGAGGGCTTTGCTATTGACGAGGTGCGAAATTATCAGCTAATCTGCACAAGTGCAACGTTCAACAACAAGTACAACGATTTTTTGAACTTAGAGATGGTAAATGTGCAAGAGAAAATAGAAAGAAATGAAATCAATTTGTACATGAGGAGGGAGGAGAAAATCGGTGCTCTTGAAGTGCTGCTCGACAATTTCAATTCAATACTCGTTTTTGCATCTTCACGTGTTCGTGTGGAGGAGATTGTGTCCTATTTCAAGCAGCACGATAAGTTCAAGAACCAAATCGACGGAATACACGGTGATCTGGACAGCCAGTTCAGAGAGGAGAACTGCTTAGATTTTAAGCACAAACAGCTAAGGATACTGGTTGTTACAGATGTCGCATCGAGGGGATTGAATATGAATGCTGCGTGTATTGTGAACTACGATATAGCGGATGAGGAAGGCCTCGTACACAGAAAAGGGCGCATAGAAAGGGGCGGCACGGTTGTGAACTTTTTTACGTTCTTTGAGCTTAAATTTGTCAACTCAGACTTGTTCTCGGTTGGTCGGGTGAGGACCAAGGACATCAATGAGTGTGCAGAAAAGAGCTATGAGAAGATGAAAGGGATGATTAGGCACACCGTGAATACGAAAAATGTGGATATACAGCAGTTGGAAGTACATCCCCTGTTCCATACCAGGGCGGCAATCGGCGAAGATCATAGATGCGATTTGAAAGCAGCTCTGCGGAACACGATTGATACCTATAAGAAAGAAAGCAAGGCAAAAAAAATTGAAAACAAATTCAAAGATCAATTTTACATACCATACAGCAAATGAAGAGGTGATTGAAGTGTGTGTTGAGGTTTTACTGTTTTTCAGTAAAGGTACATTTATTTATTATTTGTGATGTTGTAGGTGCTTATGTCACGAAAAAGATATATTTGCCATGAACTATGTGGTGAATGCTCACTTTCAAAGAGAGTTTGTGCATAAAGCGGTATTAAATATACCTTTAAAAATATATTTACGAAGAGAGTACGTGCTAGCAACTAATCAATGTTGATTTGTACCTTTATAATTGTTACCTAAGAAGGATATTTTATTCAATGTTGACATGAGAGGACTGTAATTTTACCGATGGCAGTTAGAACTGTTTAAATATTTTTGATAAGCTGTCACACTTGGCTGAACCGTTTTAGTCTTACCTCAAGAAGAAATGTTTCAGATGTGGTATTATTCATTCGTTTTGAATGTCTCACTGGCATAGTATGTAATGATGCACCTACTGTGAACTACGGTCTACACATCCAAGAAAATACTTCGCTGCGATACCTACCCGTATAAACTACCAAGTGACACGTAAGTACTGGATCAGGTATTTCCGCCATTCAGAGCGCACCAACCAAAAAATTTTTATTCCAATCTACGATTTGATGCGTTCATTGTTCCTGAATCACACCGCTCCATCTGCTGTGGCACTGTACAGCATAGCATAGTATGAGAACCGCAGACTAACATGATCATCATTCACAACCACTAAGACATGTCTTCATTGCAATGTAGGTGCTTAGGAAAGGCACAAAATGCTTTTAATCCGCAACTGTGTAAAATCGTGAAAAGTGGCACCCTGCACTTGCATGGAATTCAATTTGCTCCACTTAATTAGGCTGCTTTCCCAAGAGCAGATCAACGCGTACATCGAAAGCTCGGAGATTCCACAGAATTTACCTTTGTATTTGACACAGCAGCTAAAGGATAATTATGCGGTGTACAGGAACATTTTTGCGAAATTGAACTGTGAAGAGACCGATTTATACCAGCGAATTACGTTGAATGCAGGAAAGAGCAACAGTTTTAAACTGAAAGTCCGGAACAAACTGTTAAAAAGAATTCTCGGGTGTAGTTTTGAACTGAACGTGTGCCAAGCTGCAGTTTTGGATTTGGTCAATGTCAAGAGCAATGTTTTGATCAACTCGCCAACGGGAACCGGTAAAACAATTATGGCATTGTTCTTTATTTTACGAACACTTGGCTACGAGATTACTAATGAAAACGAGAACACGGCGAGCGAACAGCCAGCTACGCAAGAAACTGGTCTGAAAAGTACATTCGTGCGTATCTCTAAGACGATACGCATCGTGTACCTCTCACCTCTGAAAGTGCTGTGTTCGCAGATCTTCTCATTTCTTGCAGAAAAACTCTCAGGGTTCATAAACATAAGTATTGTGACATCTGATGATTCACTGACTCACAAAGAGTTGGTCGAAAGCAATTTGATAGTCACCACACCGGAGAAGTTCGATAGCATTCTTAGAAAACATGTGTTGTCTGTTGATCTGCTGATAATTGATGAAATACACGTTTTAAACTCCGACAGAGGTGCTGTTCTAGAAACGATGATCAGCCGAATGGTGGGAAAGTGCAGGATACTGGGAATGTCAGCAACCATACCGAATTTAAAAGACATTTCTGTATTTTTAAAGGCCAAAGCAATCCACTTTGATGGCTCGTACCGTAGTATTCCGCTTGAAATAAATTTGATCAAAGTACAAAATCATGAAGATGTACGAGTTGCACGTGCCAAACACGTCACGCAGGTGCTGAACAAATTGTTAAATGAGCAGGAGGGAAATACAATTGTGTTCATCAGACGACGAGCAGAAGTTGAAGACTGTTATAAAATGTTTAGTGGCAACAGTGCTTTTAAATGTTTATATCACCATGCCGGGCTCTCTAGGTCCAAAAGACTGAGCGCAGAGAATAGTTTTTTGGAAAGTGGTGGTAAAACTGTCCTTTTTAGCACATCAACACTCGCATGGGGCGTGAATCTGCCCGCCGATAATGTGATAATATTCGATGATTTCACCGATTACGATATTGTGCAGATGATGGGGAGAGCAGGCCGCGAAAAGTACCATAAACCGGAAAATGTAGCCAGAGCATTTCTTATTACAGATAATGTGGACCGACTGGATCTGATTTGCAATTTAAAACCAATCAAATCACAAATTAAGGATATTGAGGATATTTACCTTACCAATTTGTTCCTGCGAACCGAACAGGCATTTGAGTGCACGCTGTATTGTCTGGAGAGAGCTGGTAATGTTGCAAGAAATGCGCAGGAGCAAATTACTGAAAAGAATCAACAACGAAATGCAGAGATGGAGATCTATCTTGCGGATAAGAATGATGCTGCACATCGATGCAGCGATCGTAAAACAGAACCGTACGAGCAACACGACGGGACAGCGGACGCAGTGGCAGTTTACGAACGAGTGCACATTCATGGACAAACAAGCGGTATTTTTAGTTGTGATACGCCCACAGCTTCGAAGCAAAGTACAAAAATTGAGAAATCGATGAATAACAACATAAATCACTCGTATAACAAAACATATCACATGTTCTACGATGTAATACACAATCTCATGGAACAAAAGCTGATATTTCTTCATAATGGCACACCGGTACTGAGCATAGTAGCACGAATCGCCGTTATCTTCACGATCAACTACAAGACAGCACTACGTTACTTCGAACAGATGCGCAATTTCAGAACTGAGGAGGAAATCTTTTTGATTCTAAATGAACTGCAAATAAAGGGATCGTATACCTGCCAGGATCTGTTTCCTACAGATACAATGATAGGAAAATACATTCAATACTGCATCCTAAAACATAAAAGAATCAACGACACGATTCGTGTAATTTTGAGGCATCTAAGGGCACTTTTGCATCTAAGCAACGAGAAGGGCACAGTTCGTGGCTCAAAGCTGCTGTTACTGCTTATTTTGATGATAGAAAATAACGTGAACAGGAGAAAGGAAGATAGCAGGAGTACGGAGAGCGAGCATCAAGGATTTGAAAGCGCAAAGATTGACAAGTCTATTTTTAGAAATAGTGCTTTTTCCAAAGAGTACCATTTGTTCGTATCAGATCCATTGGACAGCATCCTGATATGCTATCGGAGGGTAAAGACCAAGGATCTTGATTTTCTTGCTTTGCACGGCGTATTTTTGGTGTGCTTTATCGGAAATGATGGAAGCAAGGAGAGCAAAATTGTTAGATTTGGACCAAACAGTAGTTTTTATTGGAACATTGGGTCAACAACTGACAATAAAACGCAAAAAAAGGATCGGTTAACGGAGAGCAAAGCAGATAAACGAAAGAAAGCACCGTGCACGGAACAAGAATGGACGAATGAACAGGCAAGTTGGTGCATAGGTGCATATAAACGAGAATTGATTATTATTGACAATAACATTGCCGATTATTGCTCGCCGTTGATGTTATACCAGCACTATTTGGTAAAGCTTGGTGGAAAAGGCATCGTGGTTTTTGCTGATAACAACGCGTACTCATTATTTCGCAGAAATGGCGTAGATGTGCAGTCGTATCGTTTCGTTGACTATCTGCAGGGCAGCAATACCGATGAGTATGATTGGTGTTACATTATGGGAACCTGTTTGAGAAGAGATGGCGATATTCAACCGGAACACTATCGCTTAGAACACCTCTTTCTCATTAATTCAAAAGAATTTTACATACTTGGAAACGGCTTGAGTGCAAAAAAATGCACCGCCACAGACCTAGAGTGCCTTAAGGAACGTTTCAACATCGCAAACACATTCAGTCTGTCAATGATTGAAGTACTAAAGGAGCATTTTATACGTTTGAGAATCGAAACAGCTGATGATGGTGCAAGCAATAGTAACACGTAGATCTTCAACGATCATTTAGTATTACGAGAATTGATCAAAAAATGATTAACTATTTATCTCAACCACGTATTCGACAGCAATAAGGTGTTTAATAACGCTTATGTAGTGTTTTATCGCACGCTTAGAGCGAAATCGCTAAAAAGTTTAATTTAGATTTATTGTGCAACCAGGACGGCTCATCCTAAAAGTGTGCGCAATGAGTTTAATCTAAAGTACGTACGAACTGTAAAAGTGTGTTTTCCTGAGTGTTATTGTATATGGAGGTAAATAAATGACGTTCAGTGACAAAACGTGTATTTCGTATTATTTTTGTTGTAACCGCTCTTAGCCATACGGATGTATTTTTTTGCGTTCTTTTGGATGCGTGTAACGTGGTGGTATTCTGCTGTACTTCTCTTTTGTCAATAAATCATAATCAAAAAATGATCCTTACAACCTTAAAGCTCACTCATCCAGCAGGATGATTAGCACCGGTACGAAACACTCGTAAATAATGAATGCACTTCTTATCTTTTTCTATTATTGCAGGAACGAGAATTATCTTACCGTATTATCGTGTTAAAAAGGTTATATCGTTCGTGCTTGCTACGGCTCAAACTTAAAATGAGTTCGTTTATCATTTAAAGGCACGTCGCACTGCTATGATCGGCATGAATACCAGCACTTAAAAGCTGTTATAAACCGAACATATGTAATTTAATTCTTTTTACGACAAACGGGCACAATTCTAACCACAGACGAATTATCTTAAGACTGCTGTGGTACAAGACAGGGATACAATAATGCAGCGGGAGTATTCGTTGCAAATGGATATCGGAAAGAAAAATGCAAAAACAAAATTAATTAGTTGATCTTTGGCTGGATTTTATTTTCTGAAGACTACAAATTAGCCATCTGTGTTAAGCAGGATCAACAATCACTTCTTACTTCCAACCAAACAATCACAGCAATTATCATTGGTCCGCAGCGATTAGTTCACGCAAATTTACAAACCATTTCGTTTCAGAACGCATACGGTGCTATAAATAGGGGAATGTTCTGGCAACATCATCTCATGACCGAGGCGTTCTCGTGATGTGCCCCTATGAATAAATGTGGTAATAATTTTAATCCTCATGGCGAAAGACGAGGCCGAGTTCATCGACGAGTTGATCGAAAAGATCAGAACGGTGGTGGAAAAGAACGATGAGAGGACAAATAGCAAATCCTGGGGAGTGAATTCCATCCAGTTTTTGAAAAAGTACGGACATATGGAAAGAAACGAATAGTGCGCTGTGCAAACGTGTATGGAAGTGATAAAGGATGTAATACCTTGGTATAAATGTTAGAACTGTGATGTGCACTCTGAAATGAATCTGTGATGGTTGCCTTTTATTACGATTGTGTATCGATGGATGGTTACCGTGCATGTTATTTTATTACCACGTGCTAGCGGGGTTATCACTTGCCATGCGCAAAAGTTGTTGCTCACCACGCCATGAACAGGTATTACCTGTCGTACATTAAATTCATCGCCTATCACATCGTGCACACCTGCTTGTTACCGCATTATGTACCATCTTTTCTGTTTCGCAGTGCTAATTCTCTCTAATCTCCTTTATTGGCACATTCCAAAACACAATCACGTATTGCAAGGAATTCTTCTTTCCAATTCGTTGATTTCACCGCGGGTGTTTTCTTAAAAAATTGCCACCCCTTAAAACAAAAATAGAAAAAAGCGAGAGACACATCAAATGGACGCACCCAATCTTAGTTACGATTTTAACGCAGATTCGGCACAAGAACAGAACAAAAAGACACGTATAACGCCTACTTTGCAGAACGTGGTTGCAACTGTGAACTTAGAGTGTAGATTGGAATTGAAGGTGATAGCGCTGCGCGCAAGAAATGCAGAGTATAACCCTAAGAGGTTTGCAGCTGTCATCATGCGTATAAGGGACCCGAAGACTACGGCGCTGATCTTCGCATCTGGCAAGATGGTGATAACGGGGGCGAAGAGCGAGCAGGCATCGCGCATAGCAGCGAAGAAGTACGCGCGCATTATACACAAGCTAGGCTTTAACACGCAGTTCTCAGATTTTAAGATACAGAACATCGTTAGCAGCTGCGATACTAAGTTCAATATCAGACTGGAAGGACTTGCCTACGCACACTCGAACTTCTGTTCGTATGAGCCGGAGCTTTTTCCCGGTCTCATTTATAGAATGGTGAACCCGAAAATTGTTCTCCTCATTTTTGTATCTGGAAAGATTGTGCTGACCGGTGCAAAGGTAAGGGACGAGATATACCAAGCATTTGAGAACATTTATCCTGTACTTACCAAGTATCGCAAGACATAGTGTAATTTTATGGCAGCATTAATAAATGAATACTATTTTAGGTTGCTACATGTTCTTTCTTTGTGGATATACCGTATTTTACGTCCTGCTATTTGAACACACGTGCCGTTTACGGGATGTTTGCGTTTTGTTCGTTGCACTACTCTTACACCATTTCATGATCTGTGCCGGTCAATCACGTCTGGTCTACCCAATTCTCTATATATCTCAACCGTACATCCTCGCCGTTCACATGTGATCCTCTCCATTTATATCATACTCTGTCCCACATATTTAGCGGGACAGAATGTTCTAATCTCCGTAACAGCGCTCTTTCGGGCATATCCGCGTGTTTTCATACAGTTTTATCGGTTGACCATACAAAATAGGTTTAAGGTTACGACATGAGTAGGTTACGAAGTATATTTGATAGAATAGGAGTGCAAAGTGCTGTTAATAAAGCTATTATTAACAGCACTGCTACTTTTTGTAATTTTGATCACAATTATTCTTCATATCTCTCAAAAAGCGTGCTCTAAGCGGACCAAAGATTTTTTCTTCATTTTTGCACAGTTCGTTTTGTTTGCCTTGTTCGCACCAACCTTTATCTTACAATGTTCTCTTGTTCGTATTGTGTATTACCTACACCAACACTTATCCTATCTCTCGATACCTTCGCGTATAAAATTCGTTATTACGGCACTAACACCCTACCTCAAGCATTTATAGTCTTCTCCTTATTCCTCCTTTTCTAATGATTTTTACATATGCTCGAATCATGAGTCTATCTCGTTTCAGTAGATTTTTAAGTATTGAAACTGCAAAAACGTGATTTAGTAATGATGGAACGAAAAACATGCGAATAAAAGATGTGTTGATGATACAACGAATCGCTTTGTGTATTGCTTACTGCTATTACATTGTGTTTTAGTGATGGATTGGATAGAACTGGCACGTAGCTATGATACTGATGAACACCTATGACCTATGAAATGGGAACGATTTGGTCATTCGGTAAAGATGGTAAGTTGCTGGTGGTGGAACAGCTTTGAATCGTATGAAATGAGCGGTAGCAATGCGATGCTGATTTGAACGTGCAGGAGAATAAAGAGATGTAACACTGGGACTGAGATAAAGGGACGGTACAAAATATGGGCATATACACTGTTTGAGTATGTTCTATGATCCTGCTTGATCAAAGAATGAGAGTTGTGGTGCAATACGTACAAAGCCGGTTAATGAACAGTTCGCAGCAGCAGGCAAGCCACAAGTGCTATCCAAAGAAGTGCAAAATCGTTGAACGGTACGCTGCCATATGACATGTAAATATCAATTTTAGTGCCAAGCCTGCCCAGCACTAAATCGATTTTTAGCTGCTCAATTTTTGTGAACAAATATTACGAACTAAATGCAGGTATTACAAATTTTTGTGCTTAACCATGGGCAATTAATTCGATCTCTTCGTTATTGTACCATTCAATCAGCAGCTTTTGAATTAAATTTATTAAAGCACCAAGAAAACAGTCAACAACAATTATTGATACAACAAAACGGCCTGTCACTAAAATTAACAATTATTCGTTAGCAGAACGGTTTATGACCGTCATAAACACTGACCAACCTTTCTCAACCGGTCTTGTTATTTTCTGCAAAACTCGGATTGTAAGCGTACTTTTAGTAACAAAAACACAAGTCTGCACACTACGAATGTCAAAGTTACGTATAATATAATAATTGTGGACCTGCACATCTTTTCTTTCTATTGATATCATATTTCTATTACAGATGCAATTATCACGCTTACTTCTACCACAACTCGAATAGAAAATAATGCAAAACACTGTCCTACTTTATTTTAGTACGGTAACACTCATTTTTATACGTACTAGGTGCAATTACTGCATCATTACGGCTCTTGTTCGGAATGTTTAACCATGTAAACGAATTATCATAAGCGTGGATATAAAGGACACGCTTCCTGTACAGATATCGTAGTGTGAAAGAAACACCAAGCAGGTTTTCGTTTCGATTCAAGAGCATTTTGACAGCATAGTAAAACATTTCAGCAAGTACGACAATGATATGATGTGATACCCTGGCAACGCCAACCGGTGTATTTGTGTGCCCTGAATTACTCAAAATACCGCTCCTAAAATTACAATACCTCCGTGTTAGCAATAACCAAACTCCCCTTCTTAGACAGCACGCACATTTATTTACATACCTTCGTCTAACAGCTGTATCTTCAACGGTAACGATGCCACTTCCTTAAAACTACCGTTAACGCAGGTATTTCTTTTTTTGTCAGCACAGGTGCCCATGACATATACATAGCTATAAAATTAAATATTGGTTTAGTATAAAACACCAGTATGTGTTACACTTCTATGATAGGTCTACAGATAATTAAATACACCATACTTTGAACCTGGAACGTAGATAGCAATTATGTTCATTTAATTCTGTCTCATATGCCATGAGGTGAACAGACAGCACTCGTAAAAGATAGAACACTAAGCAATTCATTTTACTCATGATCAGGTCACCTATTACAGCATGCCAACCATTTCGGAAACTAATGGCCGTTGCCCAAATAAGCAACATTCTTTGCACGCTAGAACATTACACGTGCTAATCATGCCACTTATTCTACACATGTAGAGTTTGCTTTCAATTGCTAATCTTTCTGTCATTCTTGACACTTTCTTAAGATCAACGCAATATTTTTTAATTCAATAAAATGCTAATCCGTCGGTACCAAGCATACTAAGCGTTATCTAAAACTCTTGTGGCTCTGTAAAGTGTAAAGATGTGCTGAGTGCTCAATTTTTTTCACAACTTTCATAATTCATTGATCAAACCTACGTGATGTACCTGTTTAATTAAAACACGCCAAAAGAGTGCAATTATGTTTTTGTTTATAAAAACTTCCATATAAGTACACCAGGAAGACGAAATACGGCTGCATACCGTGCTCAAACCAATTTTTCCTCAATATTTTATGTTTTCCTGCGTAATTACAGGCAAATTCGTTCATCACGGCATTCTTGCTCCTGATTTACCAGTGTGCTACGCAGTACTCCATGCGTAAAACACTGCTAATAGGTACGGTAGACCAAAATATGTCATAATAACGGAGTGTATGCACTAATTCCAGAGCATTTAGTATTCGTGCTTGTTCCATTTTATCAGCAGTAAATCAGCCTGTCATAAATTAATAGCATTAAAAGGTAGAACTCACAAATTTCCATAAATACGCCACATTCCATTTCTTAGCAGTTCTCGATTAGTACATCACCAGCATTTCTGAGCGTACCATATTTTTTCATCTCGTAGTTATGTGGTGTGCTCTCCACATGTCATATCTTTCAAATGCTTAAATCTCATCATTCATCGAGTTTTCTATTTTTGCACATTATGCTGGTTTTATTTAATTTACAATTTTTAATTTGACATACTTATTAATTGTGACGTATTACAATGGTCTAAATATGCATAGTGCTGTACAGGATATGGCACAGGTCTGTATTTTGTTAATTAAAGATGTTTATGCAAATCTATTTTATTTTTAATGCAAGTTCCTTATGTTCCAGAACATATTTACCAAATTCCTACTTATGTATTGTCGTCCTGCATAGACACACAATCATGCTATTTGGAGTGGCTATCGAAGTACCGGACACCATAAACAGGTGATATAAATATAAAAACAATATGCATAGCGTATTAGTAGTTGGTTCTAAGCATCTTAATTTATTACAAACACGCGTTAGCGTGAAAGAAATATGAAAACGCTTTTTGTTATCTGTGACTGAGCCAGTGCTTACGGCAGAAATGCACCTCTGATATAAGTGCGCTCACTTGCATGCGTCTGCAATCATGCATGTATTTCTCATTCAAAATCGATCGGGCTCACGTATTAATATTCATGCGGCCATTCATCAGGACACAGGCCAAATGCTGGAACTGGCCGCATTATTGGAATTTGTTTACTTTTTCTGTGTCATCTATTCAAATAGGCCATATCCCAACATGCTTCTTGGTGCCCTTGACTAATATTCACCTGGTCATCCAACGATTGCAATTAATTTTCAATTCCATATTCCAAAAAAAATAAAAAACCCACGAATAAAACAAGTCCTTCCTAAAAATGAGTGATTATCCGAACCAACCAAACATACAGACCTCAACACCGCAATCGCTCCTTAATGTTCTTATACACGAGTATCTCACAAAAAATAACTTCCCTCAGACCGCAATGACATTCAAAAATGAGGCTAGCATTGCAGAGTATGCTGATACTACAAGCAACAGCGTGCTCTTGGAGTGGTTTAGAATGTTCAACGAAATTTGCATGGTTAGGAGCGGATCAACAAGCGATTTTGAGAATTTGGCACGTATAGAGGCAATAATGCTCAGGCTCGAGAATGAGAAAATGCGATACTATAACGTGACAAAGGACAAGGGATTTGATAACGATAAAATGAGGATGCAGCCGATGATGAGGAGACAGCCAAGATATGGGCGTGAACAGGAGATACGTTATTCGATGCCACCACGTTTCAACGATAGACGCCCACAGAGGAGTGATTACGTTTCTGATGATTTCAGAAGGGAATACGAAGACTATCGTAGAATGAGCGCATTCGGTGAACGTGATATGAGGCAGGGCGATGCACGAGCGGAAATGAGGAATGGAGAAATGAGGGATGGCATGCGCACCGACATACGGGATCCTGCATTCAGGGACCCTGCGCGTCCGGACTTGAAATACGATCCTAGGGAGGCAATGCGAGACAATCCCCCGACCCCTGGAAACAATTACGGTTACAGTTCGCTTATTAACCTAAATCTAGAAACTCGAAGACAAAGTGCACCAGACCCAAAGTTTGAGGATATAAAAGAAACTAAAAAGGTGTACCAGAATAATTTGAAGGAGATTAACAGCTTCTTTTTCGACCAGAAAATATGCTGCTCGGCAAGCACTAACAATTTGCTTTTTGTGGCGCTGAGTGACCGCACCATTCAAATTATAAATCTATTAAACATGAAAATAGTAGGCAGTTTTGAGCCACATGGCAAACAGGTGGTCGAAATGAATGTTCTCGTTTTGGACGACGATCATTCCTTTGAACACAAGCCAATGAATGAGCAGAATACCGAAAGGAGTGAAACGGGTGAGAATGTTGTTCTGTGCACAAATGCGCGTGAAAAGGAGATAAAGGTGTTTAAGGCGTCTGATGATGGCAATATAAGCAACGTGTGTATTGTGTTGCCACGGAATGTAGCATTTACGAGTGCGCTCACCAAGGACTGGGTGTACACGGTAGATTTAGATGGGGAATTTTGTAAGTTTGATCTTTGCGGTGCATTGAAAGAACGCGTGATGATGGACGAGGGTGTTAAGCAGCTCGTTTACTACAAAGACGATCTTTTCATCGTTAACACCCGTGAAAGAGTGCATGTGTATGACTATGGGAAAAGAGAAAGTATAAGAGATCTTTCCAATGAACCTGCTTTGTTGATTGTTCATTATAACGATTTGTTCGCACTTCTACACCGGGACACGGTAGTAATATTCAGTAGGGATCTGAAAAGACTGAATGCAATTTCCGTCGTAAACCGTATGAACAGCCTTGCTGTTCTTGATGAGAACAATGTTTTTGTAGGTGTGTATCGACAGATATACTGGCATTCGTTTAACTCCCTCATTACTAATGAAAAGCATGCAGGAACAATTACTGCCTTGGAGGTGTGCAATTTGTTTGGCAGAACGGTAATCATCAGCATGTCACAGACAGGAGAATGCAAAATATGGGAAATATCCTTTTAATCGAAGAGACAATTTTATGTTAATAAATACGGTTCATAGGTGTTTTACTTAGTGGTTTGTTTTGTACTGGTTTATCGAGGAATAGCTCTATACGATGCAGGTTTTCTAATCAGAATGAACAAAAAGGGATCGGTTTTGTGTGAAGGAGCATCGCGTGAAGGAAGTTGTGAGGATCGTAGGTAATCGTGCAACATGGGAGATAGTGGTTGTCAACGAATTTTATCGTAGCAATCAAGGATATCATATCGGGTATAACAAATGTAGTTGTGTGGAGCAATACGTTATTCAATATCGGTATGAATAAAAAGGCAACTCAAAGGTTGATCGGTCAATTCAGGGAAATAAATTATTTGACCCTTAGAAAAAAACAAAAAAATTCATTTTGCATTTTTACGCCAGATAAAGAGCTGATGGTTGTTATTTAATTTTTTTAGAAGACGCTCTATGCTATTCTTGGTGAAAGACACGAAAATGGTGTGGTTATATCAGCAGAAAAGTAATTCTTTAGCCCTACTAAAGGATCTAAAATAAATGAAAATAGCTGGAACAGCGCAATATAAGGTATTCAAAATTAGAAACTGCATTTAATAGGTATTCTAACATTCTTCTGTTTTATAAAGAGAAATAGCACAGCCAGTTAAAACAATAAAGGTCTCACGTACGAGTATGACGAGAAAAACAAGCGTATTTAAGAAATATTGTGCATATAATAGCAGGACCAAACAAATGTTGTGTGATTACATCGTTTAATAAAACTGTCAGAACTTGATTTTTATGTCATTACATTCATTGTGGTGAATTATTGTAATGATATAGCACAAGCGATTAGTTGTGCGCATAGGTATATCAGTGGCTAGTGTAAAGAATAACACTTATGATATTGTTAGTGGTGAGTGTTGCATATGTTTCTATAGCACTGTGATACGGAATATGAACTATTCCTACACTTGTGGTGTTGCTATCTAAACATTTTGCTATTTTATTCCTTTTCGCTGCGCTTTATTGCCTTTTTGCCATTTCTTAATTGATTGGTAATTAAATGCTCATTGATTTGTCATCAAGCGTTCATTTATGGACATATACCCTGTCATCACAGTTAGAAAAGGAGGCATATCACACAATGCTTACCATTGGTCAAATACCTTATGGAATGATCCATGCACAATGATTAATCGCACTTTACGTGCGATTGATGATGCATCAAATAGCACGTAAACCACTTATTGATTGTAAAATAGAACGTGAAATATGATGATCAATCTGTTGTCCTTTTTTGGATTCTCTTTATTAAGGGACGCAACGATTTATTGGTCGCTAATCAGCAGAAAAATACTTAAAGACAAAAATTTTGCACCCCATGTCGCCTGAGACGTGCAACAAGCCTGAGCAAATCGAAATTCAGTGCACACAGTGCAATAACCCAGCATTTCTCAAAATTATGCGTGTAGACACACCCGGCCAATCCGCACAGATACTCAGCACGTACACATGCTCAACGTGCAACATCCAGGACAATACAATTCTACCGTACGAGGACAAGAATGCCAAGGGAGGCATCAAGATAATATGCAAGTTCACAAACAAGGACGATTTGAAGCGATATGTGTGCGTATTTCAGAACGCTGTGCTCAAATTCCAGAAGGACGAGTTTGTGTACGAGTATTCGTCATCGACGGACGTGACCACGGTGGCTGAAATTGTGCTCAGAAATGCAATCGATGAGATTGCAGAGATGTGGAACGTGAAGAGAAAGAGCACAGGATCTGTATTCGACCTGAAACAGGAGCTGAGTGCCTCTAATTCGAGCATGTCGCTTTCAGGATCGGTTACGTCTTTGGAGAGTATCCAGGATGTGGATAGTGCGAAATATGCGATTGAAATGCTGCAGGACATGGTGAGTAACAGCGGGTTTGAGATGGAGTTGTGCGACCCGTCAGGCTTTTCGAGGGTAGCACCCGTTAATAAAATGCTTGGTGAGTGCGTATTCGATGATTTGGATACGTTTAACGACGAGAAGGTCAGGCACGAATGGATAGGTTAAAATTAAAGGTTTGTTGGACGAATGTTAGCAGCAATCTGGGCTGCTTTAAAAACACATGCCGTGCGACTCTTTCTCTTTGACGTGTTGCTGTGGTTTAACTTTTGCTAAATTCAATTACCATATACAGGCACCGCACAAACGCTTCTGACGTGTTACCGCTACCGTGGTTTTATTTGGTTCTACATGCGGATTGCCCGCATCTACAGAGATGCCCTGCCGAGCACTTTTCCATTTTTCCTGGTGTTTTTTAGTTATCACATACTCAAATAAACTCAGCTCTCCTTTGTCCTTTCGTTTACTAATGATACGTTTATTCACGTGTTACATCGAAGAATGCTTCAAAGCACTTTTAAAACCGTTTTTTAGTTCATTTAACAGCATTACTATGCACAATCACTCCCATTGCACATAATGGCGGGCTCAGAATAATCACAACCTATTCACAACGCAAAAATAAAATATGCCGTGTTGTTTTTCTACCTATCTGTGTTTGCAATTAGTTCGTTTTTTCACTTAAGACCTTTTATTTGTAGGCAGTTCATCCATTGGCGAAATTTGGTAAAAAAAATAATTTGAAAGCAGGTTTACACCACAACATACTCTTTTTATAGGGACCACTGCATGGTTAGCCATCCAAATTGCCATCACAAAAGATGTTGCATTTGATGGTAACACAAAGAAATGAAGCTTTAAACCTGGTCAGAATGCGATATTTTCTGGTAGCTCATTTATTCACAATCATCATTGTTTTATGTCGATCCACACCCCGACAGTTCACAAAGACATCTCCACCAAGAAATCGAGTGTTTGCTCGCTCATAATGAAGCAATTCAGTGTAAATTTCATTGTAGCTATGAAATAAACGGAAATTCGCACAGAAATGATACTCTCGTGGCCAAATATGTCATAAAGAGGTGTGTTCTTTACGGTGCTGGTTGAGCAGTGCGCTTTGTTCAGGTTAAAAACGGTGCTATATTCGATAAAAATACGCTAAAGGCTTGTATACCAGTACTATATGGTCGTATAGACACGAGAGAATAGCGAAGTAAACACCTAGCCGTGGCCTTTGAAGGACAAGAAACAGAAACGTAAAACAAATTTATTGCCAGAACGGTATATAATATGCGAGTGATGAGCAATAAGCGTTTTGACCATTAAAATCTGCTTTACTTAGCTTACCGATGCATTCGACATTTTCGTAATAACTTCCTTTCCAGCACAGAGCACCACCTTGTCCTTAAAAATCAGCTTATTGTTCCTTATTTTCAGCTCAGACATCACTTCAGAAAATATCTCATTGCTCTTATTGATCTTAGGCACATTAAAGTTCCGTATCACGGGCCGTTTCTCTCCTGACAAGTACAACTTCTCTCCAGGGATGTCTACAGGTGCTTGAATCACTTCCAGATTATCGCCGTCTTTTGCACAGAGTATCATTCCGTTGCTCACTTCACCACGGAGCTTAGATTTCTGCATATTCACTACGAAAAGGAAGCATTTGTCCTTCATATCCTCCATTTCCATCCTTCCTCTCAAGCCGCTAATTATCTGTACTTCTTCGCTGCCCAGATTAACTTTCTCCACATACAGTAAATCAGCATTCTTGTGCACCTTAATCTCTTCAATACGGCCTATCCGTATGTCAAGTATCTCAAAGTCAACAATTTCAATTTCCTTAAACTCTATAAGCTTCAGCAACCTGGCCTGAAACTCATCAAACCACCTCTTCTCAACAATTGAGTACTTGACGCCCTCCTTTATAGATTTGTACACGCGTGCGAATAGCACGAGATCGGCCAGCGTAAGAAATTTACCGTTAATGTAGTTGTGTAACGGAATGTTACTCGGCATGTTCTCACCGTCACTCTCTTTCTTGTGTTGTGTGAGCGATACGAGCACCTTACGAGGACTCAATTGGCGCATGCGTTGTATTTCACTCACAACCTCATCGTTGAGCAGGTCTAAATCATGCGGATCGCATTTGCATAGGCTTATCAGCTGGTTCATTACATCCTTAACACCCAGATACTCCTCATCCTGTATTTTCAAACAGAAAACGTCCGACTCCTGCAGTTCTATAGGCAACTTTAGGTATGATATGGCAAAAAGAAGGTCCTCCTCGGCAGGAGTGTATGATAGAATCATTTCTTGATGGGCTCGGATTTTGGAGTTTAAAAAGGGGCACATGTCAATTTCCTGATGCAAGTTGGGATCTTCTACCGATTCAAACATGCGTCTGTTTGTGAGTCAAACACTATGCTGTTGATTACCATGCATTCTTTGTCCAGACTCGTTTCAAATATTTTTGACAGAGTGGGATGAGGAAGACAGGATAGCAAGTAAATCTAATCACTTTGCTCTATTGTTTTGTTTAAAATGCTGAATAGATCGCATGATGTAGAACATATTGAAGAAACTCAGTTTATAGTTGTTATGGATTGTTTTTCGCCTACTATGAATTTTTGGTAGTTAGCTACTCTTACTCCCAACCCCCGGGAAATGGATTTAGAACACTTACAGGCCAAAATTAAAAAACAACCAGAGATATATGAAAGGGAGTATATTTCAATGGTAAAAACATATCAGTCGTTGCTTAATGTACCCCCAATGCCTGATCACATAACTGTGCTGCAATTCATCGTTTCAGTCTGTCACTTATACAATGTGGAGATCGGCAAATTCATAATAAGCCATTTCAGGATAGAAAGGGATGATGAGAGACGGAAAGACATTCTGTATTTGATGGGCGATGTTAGAAAAAAAGGATTGATGTGCAGGGAGGACTTTGTCATTGCGGTTTTTGAGTGCGAGTTCAAATTGGATTTATTGAGGATTGCCCACGACACTTTTTTTGATGAACACACGGGCAAGCTGAGAATAACTTGCTCGGTAGAATCGGAGAGCTCGGGAAAGGACAACGATACTGTTTCAAAGAATTTTGTGTCCGATATAGTAGAGATGTTCAAGCAGTACTATTACAAAGGCACAATATCACAGAAAAAGATGGCTCTGTTTTTCTTGATCTATGTATACGACCACACAGAGGCAGAACTTAATGATGTTATAATGGATGCACTGAAAGACGAAAATGTGCAAGGACTATCAATTAATTATGTTTTGGGTCTTTTACCACTTACAAAAGGCGAACAGGGTGTTAAAATGAAGGTGAGAAAGAAAAAGAACAGAGGGAAAAAAGGTTTTGACTACGAGCGGTTCAAGGAAGAGCAGCAAGTGACCAAAGAAAGGATACTTAGAGAGAAGGAAATGAAAAGAGATAGGAGAAAGAACATTACTGATGTTGTGGCCAACAGCATGTCCGTAGAAGAGATCATAAGTTGTAGTAAGGCGAGTGACACAAGCGCAGATGCGATGTACAATCATTTTGTGATAGATACTACAACTGTGAAGGTTATAAAGGAGATACATGATCCTAAAGCGGTGATTAATTTGCTTCTTGTACAAGTAAAGGGGCGGAAAGACATTCGGTCCACAAGGTTAAAGAAACTTAAAGTAATTTCACTCATAAAATTACACTTCAAAGTACCCGTAAGGATCAATGATATCCTTTTGAAAATGATTGATCCTTCAAAAGATGATTTACCCGTTGTGATGCACATTCTCGTACGAAGTATAGAGCGGTCTGACACGCGAAATATCGTACAAAAGATAAACCACCTGTTCTGCACAAGAAAAGATGATGATATGAAATGCTATGGATTGAATTTGCTGAAAGAAATCGTTTTGCTGGATAGAAATGAAGAGATTATTTCAGATATACGAAACATAGCAAGCGAATTCAGGAATAATAAGGTCAAGGGAGTTTTTCACACGTACTGTGCGCTCATGAGAGCGATCAAGTACGGAGTGACAGATAACAAAAGCTTTGAATACTTGGCGAAAAGGAAAAAATGGACACAGAACAATAAATTGTAACTGTATTCTGGCAAAATGAATATTTTCGGTTTGCAAGAATTTGACATGCCATAAGATAAAGGTACTACGTCTTACTACCCTGTTGGTACTGGTTTCATACGTACAATGAGACACAAACATGGATATTTTCTAGTAAAATCTGTTCTACTTCTGGAAACATCATTTTGTCCTGTTATTAGCCACTTTTTATTGCTTTGCATCTTTTCATAAGGAATTGAATGATTTTTGTCTTTCGGATTGACTAATCAGTGTTCGAGTTGCTCCTCGATTCATGTGGTAATAATATTCATATGGTAGGCTAGCAATTGAAGATAAAAAAATCTATGACATATTTAACGGAATTATTTTGTTTTTTTTATTGTTTTTGTTGCCTAGAAAGGATATTTTGCTTAATATTGATGTGAGAAGAGATTAATTGTGAGACATCTGGTTCGAGATGATATATTGCTGTATCAGATGTCAGGATCTCTTGGGAATCTCATCATTTACCATCATATGTTTGTGCAGGCTCATGTATTTCACAAAGATTATCGCCACCAATAAGTTGATATGTGTTATTTTTTGAGCCTGTTCACCATTATCACGCTTTGTTGTTTTGTGATCTGAAGGCTTCGAATATTTACACAAAAATGTTGCATAGAGGAATTCGAATCACGTACTATTGTAAACGAGAATCGATTTCGTGACTCAGCCACCATCCCTCATGTTGGTTTGCGACATTAGCACTGCCATAATTAACCCTAGACTTAGGATATTGCTCTGCATTGTATCGTTTTTTAGCTTTGTTTAGCTTCAACACCATCTCTCAATATATTGGTACATCTCTTTCTTCTTTTTGCTGATAACATATCAATTTGAGAGAAAATTGCAGTGCTGTAAAATTGTTACAAAACCACACAAATATTTGCATCATCAATACTAATAAAATTGATCAGACTATAGTACCACATTTAATATTTCTATATTGCTATCATTTACAATTTTTTAATTAAATACCAGTTTAGTAACAGTTGTGTCATGGCTCTACAACACGTGATATCGATTGTGAAATGGCAACAAAATATCATGTCATGATTATCTTGAGAATACTAGCACATTGCATGATTATAATATTGTATGAATAACATAAAGAAGACGAGTACTGATCATTACAACCGGTTTGCTCAGCAACTCACAAAAAAACACTTCAAACAGTGCTTTAAGTAGTTACAACATTCGAAAGACAAATGCAGGTGACATTTAATATTAACATCAGTTGATCAATATTGATGACATTTATGTTCAATATTTGTTCAAATCGATTTGATGATAAGAAATTCATTTGGAGTAGAAATGATAACAGGAAAAGGAATGTAGTGATACTGGCACACACAATATAACTGGTGTACATGCATTGTATTCAACATAAATATGATAACGCATTGATAATTGCATATTGTAATGTAGCTTTCAGCTTTTCTTGAGGTAGAACAACACAATTACAATATGAGCTTTCTGATCAAAAGCAAAACATGTGTTTAACAGCAATGTGCTCATCACATAACAATACTTTTATTCTTCCATTATCATATTCTTACATCATACCGAAGTGCACACAATCAACGACAGTGTGTTGACCATGAATACTTCGTTCACACAAACAACTAGTTTATTATTGTCTGTAACAGGTTGATGAGAAAAGCAGGTCTATTTTGTGTGATCGATATCATAAACAAGAAAAGAACACACTAAACTTGTAAAAATGTGTGCATCATTATTATTAGTGTCAAAAAATTCGCAATTTAATGCTGGCTTTCTCCTCTAATCACATGATCAACAACCATATGAGATGAACAAAAAGCACGTGCCGATAAGAATGAATTTCCTTATCATTTTTGCAAATTTAAAACTATAAAAGGAATGAATTCTGTGGATCCCATGATTTTTTTCAATTATTTGTTGTCAATCTATCGATGGTCATGTGCTAATATAGGTGTTAAAAAGGGTGATGATGGCTCAGAATATGTGTACGCAGAGGAACAACTTAGGTATGATCTTGAGCACTTACTGGATGAACCTGAAGAACACTTGGATCTCAGGTGTGCCCACATTGTGGAACGTCTTCTCTTGTCAGATTGTGAGACACTTTTGCAGAGGGCAACAATGGAGAAATACGAGAACTTGCAAACCTTCTATCGTGAGCTTTCAAAGACAATACAACTTGTCTACGAGGCAAAGAAGTTCAGCTCATACTTTTCTGCTCAACAGGAAGGTAATGCAGAGCCGAGGAAGGGATTGAAAGTTTTTATTGACAAATCAAGCATTGAAAAAGCAAAATATATTCTAAAACGATTCGACCGTGTGAATTTGACAATTGTTGTTCATAAATGGTCAAGAAATTTATCTGATGTCAAACTCGGTGATACAATGCAGAAATTTGATTTTATTACCGATTTATATCTTCTAAACTTGACGCGTAGATATATAAGTTTGTACCATGAATCTTATGAAACGGTTCAGGATTTCATTAGTCTCGAAAGAATTCCAAAATTACGTACATTTAAAGTGAAGAATATGTTATTTATGGAAGAGTTCTTAGAGAAAGTAAGTAACATGAAACTGGAAAGTCTGATGTTTATTGGATGTACTTTTCTCGCTTTCAAGAATGCTGTGCTTCAATGTAAAAAAATTGAGGTGACTTTTGGAGAATCATATGAGACTATCTGCTTCAGTAAGTGCAGGTGGTTTTGTCCTATTCTATCGCCTCCGGCACATAAACAAATGATAAGAATCCAAGTCAATATAAATAAGTGCGTAAAACTACGCAATCTGACGTTAAACATGAGTTACAGTGAGAGTGTTATGCCTAGTGACCAAATAGTAGGTGGTCTACGGTGTTTAATATTAGGTAAGATGAACTGCGACCGGCTGCTCCCGTCTTTTCGGTGTTATGGTACTATACCAGAGTATTTATCATTTGATATTTTTTATCTAGAGCTCGCTGTCAGTTTTCTAAAGAAAGAAAACCGAAACGAACTTAAGCATCTAGTATTAATTTGTTATAAGATTAGATATATTTATGATGTTTGTGATTTTTATGATGTTTGTGATTTTTATGATGTTTGTGATTTCTTTGATGTTTCTAATTTGTTTAACCTAGACTTTGCTGCTCTTGAAGTTTTAGAAATTGATGCTGGCGGTAATGGTTTGGAGTTGAGGGATAAGAGCACAATTGAAGTAAAAATGAAAAAGTTAGAAACATTAATAATCCGGTGCTCGTATTTAGATGCAAAACTCTTGAAAATGATAACTGAGCTGGAAATGTTGAAACATCTTGAAATTTGTATGTATGATGATGAGAATGTCAAGTATGAACTTTTATGTAGACAACTAAGCAATTTGAAAGGACCAATAGAAAAACTCTTTGTTAGTTCTAAGATGACCATTGGTGAACTGGTAAGGTTAATAGAACCTTTAAAAACGTTAAAAGAATTTCGCATAGATGGTAGATCCATTCGGTCATCATTTGATAGCCTCGCCAATCGAAATTATGACAAATTCCAACCTGCAAAAGTTGATGCGAACGAACAGAATTTGGTGGAGAGTAAGAATGTGGTGCATCTAAAACTCCACACTCTCCATATTAGGATGGTTTTAGCACAAAAAAAACTTATCCAACTTATGTTATGTCAATATTTTGGAGCTTTCGCTGACATTGAGAAATTGGTGATTGACGTAGTACCAAAACGTCCAGGAGTAATTCAGAAATTGTTCAGAAGTATGCAAGAGCAGTTCAAATACTTGATAAAAAGCATTTTCGAGACGTTCAAACAACTTGATGTACTTGTGTTCCGTTATATGAGTTTTCACATTTCTGAAGAAAAGGCTCATATTCTTCATAAGTTTTTTTCGTCGAGATGTAGATCTCTTAAGGAACGATGCGAGTGGTCAGATAAGTGCGATGGAGAACAAACAATCTTCGAGCTTTATAGGTAAAAATTAAGTTATTTTTCGATCTTCTGGCGCTGATCATTTCTTTTTCATGATTGTAATGATCTCAGGTCTCATTGTTCATAGTATTCAAGCAATCTATAACATGTTGATAACATGTAACAGCATAAGTGATACTATCTATCCAAACACAATGGATTGTGTCTCCTGCGTATGATCAACGCCATTGCTGCAGAAAATTTGTTGATATTGAACAATTAAGATCTTTGTTAAGAGTAAAGCGATTTAAAACCGCTTGTGTTGAGATAACTGCTCTGTCATGTTTAACAGTAATGAAGCATTTACCAAAAGTAAGAGTTGGTATGATGTTGTGATCTATTCGAACATACTACGGATGACATGTCATTCAAGAAAACGATTCGAGCCGTGTGTTGTGAGATATTATAACTGTCATGCACCGATAAAAGCGTGACAAGTAGTTTTAGATTTGCTAATTTCATTAATTCACCTCCATTGTTTTAGAAAATTGTTGCTGTTAATCGGGCAACTGATGAGCTGCATTAATAAATACGTGTTGGCACATTCATGTTTGTCTATTGCCTGACAGATATTGACAGGAGAAAATGGTCGTTCTGTGAAAAGTATGAGAGAAAAACAATATGGCATCTTTTCTTAGAATAATAACAATAAGTTGAGCATCGAATACGCTTTCCTGACTGGGTGTTAAATTGCCAAGAATCACATTTATCTGTAGATACCGAGGAGAATAATTACTCAGAATACTCCTGGGATGAAGGTTTTATACAATTTATGGCTTGTATGTTAGGATTACTGCTGCAGTTGTAGCACACCTGTCTGTCGTGATGAGGGTGTTCGTAGAAATGTTATACGAAATAGTGCACGGATTTCCTCCATAAACTATGGCTAGTGACTACGATCGGTCTTAGTAAATAAGAAAAATGCATCGGTTCAGATACTGTGATAGAAGAGACGAATGAATGTATTTTACAAAATAAATAGGTTATATGCACAACTAGACGAAATCCTGAATTTCATGTTCTGTAATTTTGGCACCCATACGATGGAAGCTCTCAAACAGGAGTATGACAGTCTTCTTAGCCAGCGCAAGGAGAAACGACCACCAAAAGGAAGAATAAATGGGACATGTGAAGCATTCTGTCCTCATTTCGAGATTGTTGAACGAAAACTAAGGAACGATATAAGCCGTTTCGAAAAAAACTTTATGATCAAGAAGTATGTGAGGAGCGCAGCGGGGAGGAACAAGGCACTAGAAGAGGATGTGCGACCTTTACATGTTTTGTGCAGTTGCTTTGATTATTTGATGGATGTGATCGACGAGTACTGTGAGGTTACAGGAAGGAGTATGGAACGCGCAGGTAAACGAATACGTGCGAGTTTGATGGTAAAAACACAGTACGATGCGGAAAGCAGACATAATTTGGCGATAAATGGTATGCCATTGTTGTTTGAAGTTTACAAATTTGTGGAAGATAGGACTCGCGCAATACGTCTGGATATTTCGGTACAGGAGCTCTCCTGTGAGAAGACAGCGGTGCTTCTCCAGCAAATTTGTAATTTTCACATAATTTTTAATTACCTGCTGTATGATGACGAAAAGTTTGAGGAGCATTTGAACACCGATCAAATACGTAGAATATTGCTGTCGCTCATGGAATGCTATAAGTTAAGGCGAAGCGTGTTAATGACCCTCGATCAACAGCGATACTATTCGTTTAGCATAATGTTGAGGATAAGCAGCGACATAGCATGCTATGATGATGAGCTGTTCAGCACTGACGATAAGATAGCGAACAACAGCACAGATAGCCAATATGAGGTTATTAATGATGCATTTGATCTTCTTTTGGCGGTAAAACGCGGTAACATCAGGTATTTCTTCAAATTTATGAAACGTGCCGATTTCTTGACGCGCTGTTTGCTAACCACCCAGCTCAGATATGTGAGGCAAACGGCAATGGACATGTTCAAAACATGTTTTTATGAAAAAATAGACTGTTCACTTGTAATGAACTGGCTGAGCATCCGGGACATGACTTACTTTGTGGGAGAAGGTTTGACAATAGAGGACGAAAAATTGTGCTTTAGAGAGCGGCCCTTTGTATCTAAGGAAGTGCACGCAAAATTACTTCCCAATTATGCTGTTTATCCGCTACCAAGTCTCAAAGAAGCGATCAAATATGATCCTTATGAAGTGTTTGTACGAAAATTAATATTTCACGAGTATACGCAGCTGTTGCTAGAACGTTTTTTAAGCAGAGAAAACGTGCAGTACCGGTCACAGCCCGGTATCGTGGTGGATTTTAATCAGGTCATGATATTTATATACCGGAAATACGCGTACTATTTGTCCATGAAGGCCGTTCTCAACTGCATTTACCTGCAGAGAAAGGATTTGATCGAAATTTGGATGAAAAAAGCTAAGAAAAGAAGAAATAAACGGAAATTATTGTTGGTGGTGCTTGAAAGGACAGTTTCAGCGGCGATGTTCCGGCAAAAAATCAAAAACTCGCCTTTAAAGCCGACATTTGTGGATTACAGACCTGACATGAACATTGACGAAATGCTGCCCTATAAAATGACTCTTTTTGTCACGGCAAAAAAGCATCACGAACGAATAAAGAGTACGTTTTACATGCTCAACAAGATCGTATGTACACCAAACAGTACGACAATAAACTTAGAACAGGTTGTTGAAAGCGTTAACCACGTTATTAAACGGAGACTGGATGAGATTGTGGATGTGTCCCAAAAGGAAAAGGCATTGGCCATCATGTGTAGTTTAATAGAGAATAAGAGGAACCCACAATTGAAGGATGTTATGGTCAAATTTGAGAAGAGAGGAGTTTTGGAAAATATAGACGTGTATTATGAGGACTAGGACAGTGTGAGCAACGTGTATACTAATAAATCTGAAGTAAATTTATTTTGAACACCTCCTTGTCCAGGGTACACCGCAAACACATAGCTTAATAAAAATCAACGTTTGCTTTTAATTTCGATCTCTTTTTTCACGTCATATCCTATTTTGTTACATATCGAATACACACTTTCGCTGCTGAGTGCCAACGAATAACAACCACCCCTTCTCTTTGCAAATCCGTACTTTATGAGTTTGTTCAATGCCATTAAAATTTTGAAGCTGTCATTCCCATCGTTTTTCATTTTCAGCACATTTCTTGCAATATCCGCGAATTTGTTGTAGTAGCATAGCGAAAAGATCACTGCACCTTCTAACCAGGATAAATCGGGAATTGTTTCTTCCTTCTTTGGTTTCAGCTGAGAATTTAACTGTGCCAGTGTGTAGAATCGGTAATACTTTTTGACCAGCAAATCGATACTGTCATCAAAAGCTGCTACCGGGCCATCATTTGGTTGTTTGGTGTTCTTGAGAGTGGTTTTCTTTATATTTTGTTTCCTTTTACCTCGTTTAGTCGAGCAATAACTCGTACACTTGTCTTTTTCGTGTTCACCACCGTGCGCTTTCCTTAGGTATTCACGAGCTTCATCCTGTTCAAATACAAAAACTATGTGCAGCAGTCCGTGAACAGCCCGTCCACCGATCAAAATAAAGCTTGTACCACCGTAATGCAACAACAAATCGTTTTCAGAATCATTAATGATTACGTTGACATGTTTGTTAGTGTGTCTATGGTAAAGTGCATTTCTCATGGATCGATACATTACCCGGTATTCAAGTCCAATTTGTTTTAAAATTTGCAAAATGGTTTGGTGTGGTTCAACTGTTAAAAGTTGAATTTTGTAAGATTTTTCGTTTTGCACGATTTTGAGAAGCGGCGTGAGGCATTGGAACGACAGCATGAGGGTGTATTTTGACAGAAAAATGTAACTTTGTGTTGGAGACCAGAATGGTATAAAGACAAGTCAGATAATGAGGTATATACACGTGTTGATTGCCAAGAGTGGTTATAAAGTATTTAGATGATTGGATTGTTGAGAATGGCTAGAAACAGTCGTGTTGATGTAGGGCCGGATGATATACGCTAAGAATAATATTATAGCATCACTACGTGGTATGGTTGTAAGTTATCGATAAGAGCGGTATTCGGTGTACATTATAGTTCTATTTCTCAAAAATATCACACACAACCAAATAAAACACTTCATAAACCGCTGAACCACAAAAAAATCGGTAGATCACACATCTCTCGCTTAGCTATGAACCCCCGTGTGATTATCGTTACGGGTAGAATTTTCTTTGAACTAACGAAGAAAGAACAACATTCTGAACATTAATACGTGATATCATATTACAAATCCTTAATGAACAGAAAAGAAACCAAGAATAATCATCATCTGAATATATCTAGGCGAGTTGTTTTATTTTTACCATAAATTTAATCATTTCCGCCATCAAGCTAATTTACTAAAATTCTTCCGCCATTTTATTGTCCAAATATTTCATAATGCTATCATTGATCCTTTCCACCATAATAACGAATTGGTGTGTGCTGTGGCTGGGATAGTAAACGGATTTATTTTTTTCTCTCCGATTTTATACCGATACACCGTGTTTACAGAACATCTCAATGAGCAATAAACCAAGAAAAAGATGATGTGAATGCTTTGATCCTCTTCGTTCGAGGTGATGGAAGAGAGAAGTGCCGTAATTTACTCGCAAAATACCTACTTCAATAGACGCACCGCTTTGCCCGTGATACCGTTCACGTATCGTTTAAGCATCACATACCTTTAGTTAATTTGCGAGGTAGTGCACGCATCCTACGTATAAAAATTATCTCGGCACAACGTGGTATATAAATCATTTCCAGTGTTTCAAATAAATCATCTCAGGAAGAGAAATGTTCTGGAAATAAATTAAAATTAATCATTGCAAATAAATACGTGATAGATCGCTATGGTATACTGATAAATATGGAATGTATTGTATAAGCATATTTATAGCCGCTGTGGTTGAAGAAGAGACAGCAATGCTGATAGAATGTTTTGACGATCAAATAGATATGTACCGTCAAATTTAACGCGGTACATGAGTTAGTTATTGTTCATGTAAACTGTTCGGTGCAGAAAAAGAGAAATTCACGTTGATTGTCTCTCCCGTTTTGGTATACGCAACAATTTCGTTATCATGCGGGCTAAACGACCTGTCACCAGAATTCGTGTTTGATGAACAAATCTATATTTAAAGCAAAAAGTGTTTGCAATAGACCATAAAATGCTTATATGCGTTACATAAGCCTGTTTTGAATCACAGTAGTGGTACGGTGCAAGGGCCTGTCCTTCTCCTGTGACAACAAAGAAAATTGCAATCGCAAGCAGTTCACACACTTATTCATTTTTCTAGAAATTATTCGTGCTCAAAATGGCTAATTTGACCATTATAAGACAAATCGACAAAATATGCACCTGTTAAAACGAGAAAAGTATCAAAAGCGCATCAAAAAAATGTATCTGCAATAATTTACGTGTTTCCTTCTCATATAGAACGCGTATACAGTGCTTACCAAAAAATTATTTTTTTAAAATTATAAATATAAGAAAAATTTTTTACCCCATCAAATGGCAACAGTAGAAAAACCAATCTTGAACGTTTGCTTCATCGGACACGTAGACAGTGGCAAGAGCACGACGGTGGGTAATCTAGCGTTTCAGCTCGGGGCAATAGATCCTCGTAAGATGGAGAAGCTAAAGAAGGAGGCGGAAGACCGTGGACGAGGTACCTTCAGTTACGCGTACGTCATGGATATGTCGGCCGCGGAGCGTGACAGAGGTATAACAATCACAACGTCATTGATGAAGTTAGAAACACCAAAACACATGTTGAACGTTATCGACTGCCCTGGGCACAAAGATTTCATCAAAAATATGGTAACGGGTGCTGCACAGGCTGACGCGGGTGTGGTGTTGGTGCCCTGCGCAACCAACGAGTTCGAGAGTTGTATATCTGGTGGTACGCTCAAGGACCACATAATGATCAGTGGGGTACTCGGATGCAGGAAGCTGATCGTGTGTGTGAACAAGTGCGATACGGTCGAGTCGTCGAAGATGAAGGCGCGTTTCGATGAGGTAAGAAAGGAAATGCTCAACATCATTGCGAAGTGCCACCCAGACAAGGACCCTATTGTCATCCCGATCTCAGGCTACAACGGAATTAACATCGTGGAGAAAGGCGAGAAGTATGCGTGGTTTGAGGGGTGGAAGCCAAAGGCAAATCCTGATGCTGAGCCGTTATTTACACTTGAGGGTGCGCTTAACTCACAGGTACCGCCACCCCGTCCTATTGACAAGCCGCTCAGAATGCCGATCGACTCTGTGCACAAAATTCCCGGTATTGGGATGGTGTACACCGGCCGAGTGAGCACAGGTGTGATCAAACCGGGAATGGTCGTCTCCGTGCAGCCCACCAATGTGGTTGCTGAAGTAAAAACTCTCGAGATCCACAAAACACCGCGTGCAGAAGTAGTGAGCGGTGAAAACTGTGGTGTTGCACTCAAGGCGGCCACAAAGGGAAATCCTGCACTAATCAAGCCGGGCCATGTGATGAGTGACGTCAAAAACGTGCCGATCACTGTGTTCGAGGCTGCACGTGCAAAGGTTGTTGTCGTTGAACACCCCAAGGGTATCAAACCTGGGTATTGTCCGGTGATGGATCTTGGTACACACCACGTTCCGTGCCAGATTTCAAAATTCTTCAGCAAGAAAATGCAGGGCGTTGCCGATGAGATCACCAGCCCAGATGTTGTCAGCAAGGGCGAAAATGTTACATGCATAATTCACCCGCAGAAACCTGTAGTTATGGAAACGATCAAAGAAGTTCCATCGCTTGCACGATTTGCACTGAGAGACGGTGGTAGAATTGTTGGTATAGGTGCGATCGATCTGCGATACACGAAGGAGGAGTTTGAAAAGGAATGTGCTTCCGAGAAGGGGGGCAAAGAAGGAAAAGAGGAGGCTCCTGCAAGAAGGAGAGCGAGAGGTGGTTAAGTAACGTAATTAAAAGTTTTACGAAAATTGTTGTTTGTTTTTGTTTTGAGTATTATGTTGAGCAGAGTTGCTCTTAGTTTATTCCGACCTAATTTATTAAACAAATTTATCATACATTGAAGGGGTGTACGTCTCTTTTTTGAGCGGTTTTTACTGCTCTACATGTTTATTTAGACGTGAGATTCGTTTTAGTTCGTTCTTCTGCTGCAGGGGATGAATTACGTGTTAGAGAATCCGGCATTTTGTGACTATAAGCAGGCTACGAGAAGCTGTGTGTTATGCAGACAGCAAGCTATGTGTGCATGCTTTCTTCGAGCGGAATAACAGTCTATTGTACTATTCGGGTTTCTCCGCGCACAAAAATGTTGTGTGAGCTGACGTACTAATTTCTCATTGATTAAAGATTGGTAAACAAGAAAAGTGTGTTTGCCTGAGTGCTGTAACGTGTGAAGATAGATAAACACACTTTTAGCAATGAAAATGAGCCTCAGGTACAAAAATATTTAAACTAATGCATTTCTATTACGATATGTTGTTTTAACAGGATGAAAGAATGTTATCGGCGGTAAAACGTGCTTGTTGATACTTCGAAGCAGACTGCTAAGTGCAGATAGACCTGTCCTTAGTAAAGAACTGATAGTAAAATCATTTATTCCACTGAAAGACATAAAATTTGATGCTGAAGAAAGTCATAGAAATTACGAACTATGCTACATATGAGTTATCAACACGTCTTTATTGTGTTATTTATATGGCGATGTGTGCTCATTAGAGAATGGACTGCACGAATGTCTCAGCAAACGAACTTAATCGTATTTGACAGCAGGTCTAACTGCGCTCGCTACGCTACGAATGGCAATGTGTACTGAACCTACGATCACTTGGCTGACCATAGCAGAAAAGTACGCTGTGCAATTCTGGCCGGTACTTTAGTAGGGATCTACAATGGTAGATCAATGCTGAACGCTTCTATTTGGTGACAGATATGCTCTGAGTGCATACTGGGCGAATAGTCATTGAACCCATTTTGTTCTCTGTTTTGAGTGTACAGTCCGTGTTATTATGCCATCACAGATGATTGATGGACAATGATGCCATCATATTACATCATAGTAATAAATCGCAAAAATTTAACCTAAAACTGAAATAAGCACTATTTGAAAAGTGTGTGTCTTTTGGTACTATAGAATGTGTGGCACGGCGTTAAAAACATTTATTAATTGAACATCTGCCAACCACGGAGCAAATAATGGTGATACCGTCCGTTCGCTCGATACGCTTCATCGGTCATGCATGGTCGTATTTGCAATTCGTGATTTCAGAGCCTAAAATTTTTCTGATAAATTATTTTTTGATTTTCAGACATTTTTTAATTTTCTGCAACTTAATTTGCTCTTGAAACGGCTGACATTCGGTGACAGCTTTTAATAAATGTCATCCAATCATATAAAGAAGTCACAAATTATTCGTTTCAAATCGCACATAAAAATATTGCAAATCACTATAAAACCACGTTTATTTTCATAAGTCCCCCAAAACAAGATAATGATAATAACGCTGTGTCAACCACTTTTAGATTATCGTATCACGGATTGTGATGATCTCATACAGCTTTTTCGTCTGAATAACGATGATTATATGCGTATACCAGATGAAAATACGCTGGCAATGTTTAATTCCAAGCCAAGAGTAATGACGAGTCTGGGCGGATCATCTTTGAACACGGTATTGAAGATAAACGAATGCTCAAACATTGACGTGAAATTTTTTGGCGCGATTGGGTATGATCAGGACAACGAGGACTTAAACGGGTTGGTAGGAGAACACAGTGTCGGTTTTTACTTTGATGAAATTCCTTCACATAAAACCGGGCACTGTTTTATCATTTTGAAGAAATCCAAAAGAATATTGTGCACATGGCAAGGTGCTAGTGAGCATATGCGACCTAGTTTCATAGAGCAAAACCGAGATGTGATCGGCCAAGCTCAAATAGCTTACCTCTCAGTTTTTATCGTATCGTTTGATCGCAACACGGTAGAATTGTTTTTGAAGTGTTTGCGCAAAGATATTGTGCTAGTGATTAATTTAGGAAGCGAAAAATTGTACAGGGACGATACGATGGGATTTATTGATACGCTTTTAAAAGACGCAAAGGTGATCATAGGGAATAAATCAGAGACAAATGCGTTAATCACAAAGAAGTTTGGGCCCTCAGTGTCTATGGAGGAAGGAATAAATCAGATAGCACAGAATGAAACTGTTTTTATCTGTACGGATGGTCCGCAGAACGTAAAGTATGCTTATAAAGGTGAGATTTACGAAGTGAAAGTTCCTACAAGCAAGCAGGTGTTTAATGACACGTGTGGAGCGGGAGATTCATTTGCTGCTGGGGTTTTGGTAGGGTTACACGAAAAGCAAGCAATCAGAGAATGTGTTGAGCTGGGTATTAAATACGCGTCAGAGACTTTGGAGAAGAATGAACAGAATTTGAACGGAAGAACAGCTGATGAGCGGAAATCCAAGAATACCATTGGAGTTAATTAAATTTGGTAGCTTCTTGCGATTTCCATTGTTTTTTAACATATACAATTCCAATCTGTGCTGTTTTTTGGTACAGGTGTCTGGTTGTAAGCCAGAAATAACATGTAATCCGTTTTAACCATTGGTAAATACTTACATTACATGTGTTATGTAAAATTATATATCTTGTATTGATACCGATAAGTACCTGTAGAGCAATAGATGCCATTGGTAGTAAATTAAATGCTTTAGTACAATAATAGAATTTTCTGGTTCAAGGATTATAATCAGATCAGCCATGGGAGGTGAAATGTTTTTGTAGTTAAATTTTTGAGGAAATTATCTGCGCTATCTTCGGTTATAAAACGGAACAAAAACGTATAATGGTGTTTTATGGCACATGCCATTCAATTAAAACGGTCTGTTAACTTAATTGTCAATTATTTGATTTGTGTGCGCAATTTTGACCAGAATCGAAAAACTAATTGCTGGAAGTGTTCCTTTGCGTGCCGTTGTGCGATGGCAATCAAACAAACCTTCAAAAAATGCCGTGGTCGAAGTATGCACCATCATTACGCGTTAAAACCTTGTGCTGATTCGACAGTCAAGGATAGTTACCTGATACAACACCAAGATACGACATAGCTAGCAAAATAAAGGAGTAGAAGATAAGTATGCCACCGTGAAACGGTATAGTATGGATATGGATAATTGCTTTGGTTACATCAAAGTCGATAACAAGCTTTGATTTGTGAATTTGAAAGGCAAAAAATTCATTTAACAAAATGCATCACGGTGTTACATCTTCATCGTTTATTCACGATTTTCCTTTCTCGTCATCAATTTTATGTACGAAAGCGTTGTTGCATCTTCGATCCTTTTGTCTTCCCTAATTTTTATGAACCTGGGAAATCTCAACGAGAGACCCGTCGTGTACAAGGGTGAATTAGATATTGATGCAGCGTTAACCTCAAAAACATATTCCGGGTCAATCCATAAATCAGGTGTGCTTGAGTCACTGTATTTATAAAGCTTCGGCACGCTTTTGCTTACATTAAGCTTATCCTTCAGGCTGCCCAAAGTCTGCTCGTCAAATCCTGTTCCTAATTTGCAAATAGCTTCAACGCGCTCATTATTATAGCATCCCATGAGAAAACCACCGTATACACCTGTACGCTTCCCCTTACCGTAAAAGGCGCCCATAACGACCAAATCAACGGTATCAGCCATGCTTATGTAGTCTTTTTTAAGTTTTAACCAGTCGTTGCTTCTCTTATTTGGAACATACAACGAGTTTAAGTTTTTGATGATAAGACCCTCGTGTCTTTGGTTGAGAGATTCGTTGAAGGCCTTTTCGATCGTTTCTTCGATGTGTATTTGGGTTGGTGACTTCTCTGTCATATCTATTTTGGATCTTTTTGTGCTTTTTATCTTTGATTGTTCTAAATCAGCAATTTTTCGTTTTGGCTCATGTTTATTTTCATGGATACTATTTTCACGCATACTTTCTGCAGTAAACACCGTATTTTCTTCATTTTTTGGCCCATTCTTGTCTTCTACTTGCAAGGCACTTTTATCAACCAATTTGTTGCTTGTGGGCTCTTCCTGAACACCATTCAAATCATCAGGCACAACATTAATATTATTAATATCACCTGATGGTTTAGTAATATTCATTTCTCCAAGCGATTCCGCATATTTTATGCCATCTTGCTCTCTAATCATATTTTTGAGAACGTCTCTTCGTTCTCTCAATGTCCTGTCCAGCAGACATTTACCATTGATGCTCAGTATGTCGAACACGAATACGCAGATGAAAACATCAACTTTACCGACATCCTTTCTTTTTCTTGTTGAAAGAACCTGGAAAGATAGAATTTTGCCGGTTGATGTGTCGTATGCCACAACTTCACCATCCAAAATAAAATTGTTTTTTTCCGCACGAACTATCATTGCCAAGTCTGGGTACTTAAAAGTACTATCTTCACCATTTCTCGAGTAAAATTTAACTTGGTCGTCTTTTTTGTGGATCTGTATCCGCTCTCCGTCGTATTTTACTTCGCATATGAAATCAGAAAAACCAACTGCAAATGAACTGAGCGGATTGCACAGCATTGCTCGGAACGGAATTAATGGCACTATTCCAAGACATTCTAAACTTTGTATACCATCTTTATGAATTTTATCTAACAAGATTTCGACAGACGCACACCGATTGTAAGCTCTTTTAAGTATGTCCAGAGAATCTTCCTTGTTTTCAAAAACCATTCCAATGCTTATGAGTACAGTCTGTATTGCCAGGCCGATCTTTAGCTTGCCTTCTAAAAGTCTCACAAAATACCTGATTTCTATCGTAGACATAACCGAAAGAATCTTTAAAATAGCATTCTTTTTCCTAACTATGGCATCTTTTCCCTCAATTTCACCTATTTTCCTTAGGCCATCATATATTTCGCACAGTTCAAAATTTTTCTTCATTTGAACAAGTTTGTTAATTTTGTACTTGCATGCGATCTGTCCTAAGTCACCACACTCAGCATATTCCCCCTTCAACGCTTTTATATTTCTGCCTGTCATGTCACCTATAACCTTGTAAAGAATTCCCTCGCCAATATTTAGTTCTTTGTTTTCGTATGTGGGATATACAGTACCAGTACAAAGATAAAAGGCTATTACCATGTTATTCTTGTCTAGAGTCGATAAATAGTTGGAGAGTATCTGTTGTATTTCCAATCGGCCAGATTTTTCTGCAATTTTTTCAAAAATGCAGCACAAGTCCTTGAATAAAGCAAGCATTAAGGGTCTACGACAGTTCATCAAAAAGTAATCATGTTGGAGATTCCAGAGCAAACAACAAACGAAATGTAAACCACAAACACAAGATTTTTATTCGATGCACGTAATAAAATTGTACTCATAGCGATTTCCTATCTATGATTGTGCAAAAAAACATGCACTACTCATGTTAAGCTTTGTATGAGGCAGTTAAATTGACCTTAATTTCTCTATAATAATCAAATAATAGATAAGAGCGCGTAATATAGCTGTAAATAACCAACTTATACCGTAATATTGATCAGCAAGCTAGTAATTGTGAAATACCTATTGGTATCTGAATCACCACATTTGATCAGGATAAACTTTTAGAGATATGTGCCTTAATGTGCAGCAGTACGAGGTATGGGCGTGATTAACATTATTGCTTGAGGAGATATTTTATTTAATATTGATATGAATTAATGATACTAGCAACTACAAGATACTTTCCCAACATTATTTTTCCTCACTATGTATACGTTTACTTTTTTTTTACACGCAACAATCACAAGTTTTTTTGCTATAAGAAACGAAAGTTTTTGCGTTGCCCTGTAGCGAACTACTTTTGTTCAAGCAATCGAATAAAAGCACTAAATACTGATACAAAGGCTAAACACCGTTAGATCAATCTTGGAAAGCTCTCTCAGATTTAAAGCACTGTTAAGCGTGTTTTATTTTCCATCTTGTTGATTTATGATTGATAACAGCATTCCATGCTGTGTTGCTCGTGTGATCAATACTATCTCTTACCAAACCATGCATTCCTATCCTTTTAGTTCCTTCACGTGTCGTTATACCGAATATTTTGCTGTCCTAGGCGAGTGCAAAATTATTGGGTTTTAAATCGTGCTAGAATCTAATGAACAATAGAGAGATATGTCAAAAATAGGATTTCTATGGAATCGATGAATGTAATGTTGAGTTATTAGCTCGAAACGTCCAGGAATTTTCGCGCTTTTTATCTTCTTAGGTTGAACGCTTTAGCTGAAATGTACCTTTACTGTTTATTATAGTGTTAAAATAAAGCAAAAGAACATAAAAACACTGTAGATCACGTATTTTAGATATTTAATCAGTTAAGGATCACTTTCCTTTCTTCTGTTGCTTCTTTTTCTTCATTTTTTT